GTTGTAATAATTGTCGTTTGTCACCATAAAGGGCTGCGTAGAGCTACCGTACTTTTTGATATGGAATACTGGGCGGAGCGGGAAGCCAAGTGACCGATACAGAGTTGCACTACCGTTCAGCAGGACACAACACCCTCCCCCTCCACCGACAACTGTTCCAAATAGCCAGCAGAAAACATTCGATCGAATAGTTCCGTTCGTCACTTCGGCTAAGTTTGTAAAGCCTAGCGGAATAATGTTGTTGGGACTATGCTCTCGGAATCACGTGACTTGCGCGATTGATCATTTGGTTGTTTAGTGGACACATGAGACTGTATCTTGGACATAATGTTACTTTGAACTAGTAACAGCTCGCCCCCAACCCTAGTGCGAGTCTGCACGAAAACGTTTCGTCATTTATTGATCAGGAAGATCGCACATACACACATGTAACATCTCTAGTAAGTACAGGAACGACTTTGTCTGGATAAGAACAAGGGGAATAGTATTGTCGTGGTGGATAGCAAAGAGAAGACGAAAAGGGACATCCAACCGACTTCACACGTGGAGACGACGTGACTCTCATCCCACAGGTACATACGGCGGCGGTGGGGTGGGCGATTGTGCTGTACGCCATTCGATTCGGTGGGAATGAAGAGCGAACAGAGCGAAGCATTAGCAGGAACAATCAGTTTATCTGTGCGTGCTTAAATTACAGTGATGTAAACGTGTCCCACAAGTTTTGATGTGGTGACGGGGTAAGTGTTCAATGAATATCTGAAAAAAGCAAAATTATGAGAATGCTGACACTGATAATAAAAGTGGGACCAACCAATCAGCCAATCAATGACAGTCGGGACCGGGGAGTAGCTAACATAGAAATTGTTCGAAGCCTTTCATCAGCGACAAGCGAAGCGGGCAAAACTAGAACCAGTAATTCTTTAATCCATGGAATAAGGAGAGAAAGCAGTCCGCTTCCAGTATGAATGCTGCAGCGGCGAGTGGTCAAAATTAGGTCCGCAAGACAAGCAAAGATGAGCGGAGATGTGGCGTTTACAAAAGGAAAAAATGGATGGTTGGTGGGGACAGAACAAAAAAGACCAACCTAGCTGTACACATGAAACTGGGACGGGCATAGTGGTGAGGAAAGCCATACTCCCACCCTCGAAACGATTCGGTCAAATGCACTTAATCAATCTGTGTGCTCAAAATAAAAAAACGGCTATTCAACGAAAAAAGGCCCATCAGGAGGACATAACTCCGGAGCTGGTAAGGAACTACCAAGAAACTATGGCAGTCACATTGAGAGGGCGGTTGGTGCAGATGAACCTTCCACAAAGATCAAAGATGGAGAAGAACGAAATCATACCGAGTGCGGAAATATGGTCGGATGAGGCAGGACTAAAAATGATGCCTTTAAAAGGCTGTTGCAATGTTCTGAAACCTATGAGCGACAGCCCATCTGGTCATACACACGCACACACACAACTATACGTGTACGGGAAGCCTGATCATTGGTATGAAAGACGAGCAATGTGAGGAAGAATAAGGCATTGCCTAGTTGGCGGGTAGTAGTTGGGGTGATAGAGGAAATAAGCATGGAGAGTGAAAAAGCGGACGAAGAAGCACAAAACACGAAAATGGTAACTAGTGGAAGTGAAAGAAACCAGGGATGAGCAGTCGGTCCAAGGAACGATATCAGGAAGCGGGAACCTACGTGCTCTGCGTACTGCTCGAGAGTGTCAAAGTGCATCAAATCACGTAGAGACGAACTTGCGGAGGACGATATTAGAACAACAAAGAACCTGAGTACCAGAGTAGTAGTATTAGTAGTAGGGACGGTTGGCGAGTGTAGGTCTGGAGTAATCGACGGAACAGGCAAATGAGTATGAAGGCAATTGGAAGGCAAAATACGGTGGTCAGTTCACGTACCATCTGCATCATACAAACATGAACCGGGGAGGTGTAGTGGTCTGAGGTATCGGGGAGGGCGTACATTTTAGCTAGTAAGGGAGGTCGGGGATGATAGAAATACAGATGAACCCCACAGGCGCCCTCCCTGGGCTGATGCATCGAGTTGAAGGGCTCCGGGCCAACTGAGGACTTGATGACCGGTGAACCACTTGACCAGTCTCGAAGCTGTTGCCCTGGTTTTTCGAAAACAGTGACTGAAGGAGATCATTTAAATCGAGATCGGAACCGAGATCGCCTCGAGCGTCCGAGACAGCCGCAGCATCTGGAGAGGATTGGGTGAAAGTGAAATTCGTGTTTAATTCGAACTACTAATTTTGTATGAGTAGACGACTTTTAAGGAGAAATATGGGGCAATGCACGCGACAGAAAACGAGTATTCTTCAGAGCCCAAATAAAAGACGAGCGGTCACGTTGCCCTTTACTACAAATCCAAAAATGGTATGCACATACTTTCCCCCACTTTGAGTTGTCGGTTATTTGTGGGCTGGGACGAGGAAATAGCCAGAACAAAGCGGGTTTTGTGACCACTTTCTAATTCGACAAAGTTTGTACACTACCATCAGCATCAGCAGCGCATCAGTGGTGAACTCCGAAAATGAAATCAAAGGAGGATGTGGGCAAACCTAATACAAGCACATCCATACAGTCATTCCCTACTGACATGCGTGAGCAGGTATGTCCTGCACTACCTCTGGCCGGGCACGAGAAGCACCACATAGAACCCATCCAGGAAAAGAATGTGTCAAGACGGGAACCATGGGTCATGCCATCTTGTTCAACGTACTACCTCCCTCCACAGATACACATAGTTTATGGTGAGGTGTCCTTCGGCATTACTACTGGTACTCGCGTTGTTTTAATCAACTGGTGTTGACTGATCCACTGCATCGAAAAATTGCAGAATTTTGAGCTTCCCATTAACTGTGTGATTACTTGGTACTATCGAGATTTTGTCCGATGACAGAAAGCCTGTGCTGAGAAGTGCTCCAAGGCTGGCTTCAATTATAGAGGATGAGACAAGAAAAAAACTTGTAATGAGAAAACGGAGAATCAGACACCTTCATCTTGTTGTCAGGCAGTAGAATACAGACGTTATTAGTGTCCACACCTGGCGATAATAAGTCTTGGCCAAGAGGGGCTCAACAAACAATCTTGAAGTCGGTAACAAAGAATGAAGTCATCATGCCCACGAAGAACGAAGCGTTGCGTAAGTGACTTACCTGTCCGAAATATGGCGAAATTACAAACCAGAAATAATCCAACCAGACAGAGCCGGTTTTGGATCTCCCGGATTCACACTTCAAGGAGTTCGAACGACCAATAAAAACAACGGGCTAAATGGCGAATTTCCGCTCATCAACTAAAATACACAGTGACCCTACTCCAGACAGGTCCAGGAAAATCGATCAAATTGAGGAAGATGGATATGAGCATGAGAAAGTTGCAGTAATCCTCCAAGACACAAGCTTCAGGAGAGAAGCGGTCGCCACGGAAAGTTTACAACGGTGTCCCATGTCAACAGCTTCCTAATGTGGGCCAAAAGATGCCAAAAAAAGAAAACAAATTCACCCTTACCAGATGGGGAACAGTAACAGCGACAAGTGGCGCTTAACAGCAGGGATAATTGTTCATAAGACTTACCCTGACTGACTGAGTCCATCATCGTGATCACCGGTAACATGTACAGCAGTGGTATCTAAGTTGCTCACAGTAGTTCCTAACCCCAGATCTCGTGTTGAAGCCCCTGTTTCGGGACCGGCATAATGTTGTCCGGGACGTGAGAGCCCTCCACCAAGGTTGGAGCAAGTGACTCCGAACGTTGAGGTACCAACGGGAAGGTTACTGGTTGGGTTGACTTCATCGCCTAGCAGGTCGTTCTTTGCACCCGAACGACTGGGATAGTGGCCAGTGTGAATACCAGCCGGATTGGCAGTCTGAGGAAATTTCGGAGGACAAAAAACACATGAGACTGGGCTGTGGAAAGAACCGGTGAGAGAGTAACAAGAAGGTCTCGATGGTCCAACCGTAAAAACTTACCTGTTCGGAGTAGGGGGAACCGAATTCATTGGACTTATAGTGGTGCTGGTTAGCGGCGGCCGCGGCATTATCGTCGTTTGGAAAACCAACACCAGGGCTGGTGGTGGTCGGCGCCGTAGATGAGGTCCAATACTGCCCGACGGCGCCCCCACTAAGAGGACCAAGAAGGGGTGCATCGGTAGGCCCAGCGCCAGCCAAATCGTTAGCTGTGCTACTCAAAGCATTGTGCTCGCCATTCAAATGAGTAGGTGAGAGGAGCCCAGTTGTATTCTGAGGGGCGATATTTGGGCCACCACTGGTGACTGGTGCAGCAACGCCGGGAGGGTTACCGGTTGTGGCGTGCTGACTGGATGAGGACTGTTGACGTGAAATGTAGGGCATACACAGGCATTGATGTTCGTAAGAGAATGAAAAAGAAACCTATCAATTCTATGGTTAATCTTTGTGAGTTACTCAAACTGAACATCAAAAGTAATACCTTCAGGGAAGTAGTGATTTTATTGTTCTCACAGTGATCCTTCCCAGAGAAATCCATTCAAAAACAGAACGAACGCTACTGGATCTAAACTAGCCTAGGAATGAAACGGACGTACCTGTGTGTGCATTTTTCAGGTTGAATTCAATCTTTATCGACCTTAGTGTATTACTTAGATGTAGCACCCTATCGGTGTCTAGCTGCCATGCCACCAGAAGGAGGTACGACGGCTGGAATACTGTCAGGTTGCCCAGCCCAGGCAGGGAAAGTCGAAAGGCCGAGGTCGGGTTCGAAGCACGGACCTTCCGGTCAGTATGCTCGTGCTCTAACCACTGAGCCATCTCAGCTTACCTTAGTATAGGTGCACGTGTACATTTTAGTGTATACCGTACGTAGCACCGTTACTATCTGGTCCCCCATAAAATAACTCAACCGGTGGTTAAGTAATGAGTATGTGATCAACCTTATCAAGAACAGAGCTGCATCCAACAAGCTGTCAAAGTGTGGGCAACGAAGAAGTGACTACGGCAATCCTATTTAGACTGACCAAGTTTTGACATTCCATTCCACTGTCAAAACGAACTGGCCCCAAAACAATGCCACCATTGTCTGAGTCGGCTTGCAGTGTTGACACTCTGGCGCCGGATGGATAGAGTAGATGCCAAGCAAGGTCACTGACATTCAACCGTGATGAACGAGGTACAGTTCGAGAACCACTCAATATTAGTTTAACTTTGTGACGGAACGAAAAACGATGTCGAGTTTAGTCGGCCTCTTGCCAATTTCAACTCCATGCACAAGGAACTTTCAAGTCATTCATTGCAGGTGATAAATCGATGTGGGTATGATATCAAAGCTTCGGTTCTGCTGTAATTGCGACGGGGCCCAGTCTAACTGCATCTCGATTACACTTTTACGAGGGATGAGTATTGTTAGCCTAGCATTTACAAATAGTTCGTTCTTCATACAGGTCCTCAATCCAGGTTTCATTTTCCGGTGCCATAGACCGACATCGATCTAATTCTGTACGGATCCGCCGTTACACAAACAAACAAACGACAAGTCAGGAGATATACGGTGATCAAATGGGGCCACCAACCGAAGGGTAGCAGGGAAATTGAAGAAACGGTGCTGGGGTGGAACAGCCAACCAGAAGACAGAAGATCAAGGTGTCCTCATCGTCAAGCAGACGTAAGTCAGAATCGCCGTGGCCAGGAAACAAAAACCAGTATCCGTTCCTTGGAATGCAATGCTCAGGTCGAAAGACAGAATGCAGCAGAACCAACTCCCTGAAGCTGGGCGTGAGCATCAAGCAAAATTAACAGGTGAATAACTGTCCTAACTCGGTGCTTACGTCGAGGAGACAATATGAACCAGGTCAGAGGTAGAACACATTAGGACATACAAACACGCAGATGCTTCACGCTGAGAAGATGAAAGAGCCCATTTAAATAAGAAAATCCGTAAACAACCAATAGAAAAACAAGGCAACAAGGCATAGTGTGACTGACCTTTGCACCGGGGAGGGGCCTGTGACACCAGTCGAATTCCCAGTCGCATTCCCAACCTTTTCGTTGCATTAGGTCGGTGAAAATAAGCCGAAGGTATTCGTAGTTGGGTTCTTCGAAAAAGTCCAAACTCCGGACATACCGCAAGTAAGCAGCCATCTCTGATTCAAGGGGAAAATGTGGGTGCACATGGAAATCCAAACACTCAATAATCAGAAATACACTCATTTGCAAATCAATTTGGTTTTCACGAGAGACTCAACTGAATCACTCATTTGTGATATTCTACAACTGAATGTGCTGCACACAGGGTGCCTCATGTTTCAGTTGGCACGAGATACCGCGGTATGGTCGGTGAAAATAAGCCGAAGGTATTCGTAGTTGGGTTCTTCGAAAAAGTCCAAACTCCGGACATACCGCAAGTAAGCAGCCATCTCTGATTCAAGGGGAAAATGTGGGTGCACATGGAAATCCAAACACTCAATAATCAGAAATACACTCATTTGCAAATCAATTTGGTTTTCACGAGAGACTCAACTGAATCTCTCGTTTGCGATATTCTACAACTGAATGTGCTGCACACAGGCCGCCTCATGTTTCTGTTGGCACGATATTCGAGATATTGAAGAGTTTTCAGCAACCTTGTGACTAGTTTCCTTTATGAGTGAATTCCACTCACGATGAACTTAAACCCATAGAGCCCATCAGATAGTTGCCTCGTAATAGTGGTTAAGTTTCGGAACAGATGAGGACTGCCTGCCAAATAGGTTTAAATGAAAGGAGATCAAAAATCGAACAAACGAGCTTTGCGCATTAGATCATAGTGACCATATAGGCCACTGCTTCACTACATGCATCTTGCTATCGTACTGACCCAGTTTTCGAAGTCATTTAGCCTGTATCATTTTGCAGAGGCCTTAGTTTGTGAAGCCGGACTGAGAAACTGAACTCTCCAAATGAGCAAAATGGAAGGCAGTATGTTGACGTTAGATAAAATTAACCAAGAAAGCATCTCGATTAATCACAGAGCATAAACAAATGGAAACCTGTTGAAATATTGGTAGCTCGGGTGAGTTTATTGGTTGTTTATCAGGTGGCTGTTGATCTGTTCGCCGAGCTTGGCAATTGGCTTGCAAACGTTTCGTCACCATACGAGGAGACATCATCAGTGCGCAGTTGAGTTGAGTGCGCATTGATGATGTCTCCTCGTATGGTGACGAAACGTTTGCAAGCCAATTGCTAAGCTCAGCGAACAGATCAACATCCACCTGATCAACAACCAACAGATCGAAATCAAAATTGTACAAAGTAGTTAGAGGCTGCTTCGATGTTGCTTTCCGGAATTCGTGTTGCAACTCATGGCGGTGCCAAAAATTTTAGTCAGGATTTTATGTTTTATCCTTTTCAACTCATTGTCATACACGACTTTCATTTGAGTTGTTCGAAAAGCCGGTTTGCGTGGTAAGTACAGCCTGAATGTGTGTGTGTGTGTGTGTGTGTGTGTGAATACAGGATAGAATGCTACTCAAATGTCGGTATTCGTCCACATGCTTGCTGGCATATTGGACTTGTGGGCAAGATATAAAAATGAGTGAATGAAGCTTAAAAAGCTGATTGAAGACAACCAACTGGTTTCCATAGACCTGCAAACAAGTGAAATCCTAACTGACAGGCGTTGGTGAAAAGTTCTGGTCAGATTAAATTCCTCACACATGGACGCAGGTGCGTCCCTGTTTTCTCGCGCGCTATAACCAAGTGGGAAGGTAGAAAATCAAACTAGTCAATTTTTAGCCCACGATCAAAAGCCGACAGGGTAAATTCCTTGATTCTCGATTGGTTTCCACTAGCAAACCACGTGACCGCGTGGAGATTTGTCAAGAGCGGAATCCTTATCAATAGGTGAGCTATCCAAATGAAATTGATACTGAAATTTGTTATTTCCGGACATCCTCGAATCAGCCGGTAAAGTAGCTGCTCATCGTGAACATGGTCATATCGGACGCGAAAAAGAAACAGAATTCAGCAACACGTTCTACCAAGAAACGGGCATCATCCCGGAATTCTACACCGTTTGGACTTTATAACGATTGTCAAGCTCCACCTGGACGCGAATGGGCCAATCAAATAACCGGTTTCAGTAGGAGCTGTAAACTTATGGATTCGGAATATGTGTTCAATAGCTGCGCGAAAAATGAAAGAACCTTTCGGACTGCGTTCAAAAAAATGCTCCAAAAGTAGCATCAAATCCCACGTGTTTTTCTCATAAGGTGACTTTTGTGTGTAGCATTTTGTTATGGACGATAGAAGCCGACGAGTGAAATGAGCTTGATTGCAAGTGGCAGAAACTAATCGGTTCCGGTTGTTTGGGGTGCATCTATGGATTAGGTGATTCTCATGAGCGTCGTACGGCAAGTGACCAATTGTCAAACAGCCGAAACAATACGTTACGGTGACTCTGATCGCCCAAAAAGTCAGCTAGGCAATAAAGCAGGCAGGACACCCGAGCATGAAAAGACCGGTAGACTTTCGACGTTCAACTCTTGTTCAGAGTTCCCAAACGTGGCGGTTCCGATTTAGTTCAAAAGATAGCGAATTAGACTGACAATGGCCAATCGCTTCGGGAAGCAATCTTGGAATCCGCGCGATCCAAGTGCATCCAGGCTCTCTAGAGCGATATGTCTTGAAAATGAAGTAAGCTCCACGCATGAGAAAAACAGTCCTCAAGCCTTTGCTTCTATAACTCCTGAGAAACAGTTTGATCGAAATTCGAAGTATATTGAGCTCGGGATCGATCAGGCAAAATTTGGCTACAACACCGAAGCGATTCTCTGGTAAACAAGGTGGAGCATGAAAAAAACAGAGGAGTTACCTCCTGTGATGCGCAAGCCTATAAGTAACTGATCAGTAGTATGTTTATCTGACAAACTGAGTACACGGAAGAAATATGAACCTGCCTGTTTCTGATATATCGTGAGAAAAACTGTCGAGAAAATAAAGGGAATCAAACAGATAGCCAAAGCCGATCTGGTGTCCAACTCCAGAGTTTAGGGGGACAAGACTGCGTACACAACTGTCTATCTATGGTTTCATGCATACATCAGCTTCCTACAACTGTTAGGTGGCGTTCTCCGACAATGATAGGTTCTCTTGTGTTGTCAAGCCTTAGGAGGTCCGGGCTAAATCCGCCTCGGATACTGTTAAAAAGATTGAGCGCCACGTGATGCATTCAGTGGGAACTTTTAAAGGCAAAACAGCGTAGTGAAATAAGATGTTATAATGCGGGGCAAAACTTTTTCACGGCTTTCCAGTCAGTCGAATACGAGTGAAGTGCAGCGTCATTTGATTGGGCAATCACGCCTTCTGATTGGCGCTCTCCTGAGATTAGTTGGCAGTCAGACGTGACCAGTGTGTGTGTGGGGGGGGTGTTAGGGCTGTACATCTTGGTAAACACAACAGCCAGAGGTCAAGTCGGAATCCCAACAAAGATGCATCACAGTCAGCACAACAACAAATGGAGGCACATCCTAGTCAAAGTACCCACACAATCACGTGTACACGTACGCGGAGTGCTGGTCGCGCCCGAATCCAAAAGCCCACCAATCAGAAAACAAGACAGCTGCAGTCGACTCGATCGGTTGTACAGATCCCTGGAAAAGGTTAGCCACGGTAACCGAAACGTCTGATTATAATATTCTGTTCCACTGCGCTATGTTTTGATGCGTTTGAGCGGTCCCTCCGATACAGTGCCTGGTTAGCCCACGCTAAAATATTAGGTACCGGTTTAATTCTCACTGCAGATAATCAGTGATGAAAATACGGCCTCAGGTGCAGCAGATTCGATCTCCAATAAACCGGCAAGCAAACAGGCAAGCGCTTCTACCGGCACCGTACTTGAATATCCGAACTGTCCCCTTGAATACAGGAAGAGGCGAACATTCATGTTGACCAGATATCTGGAATGACAAACCGTCCTGGTGGCCTACCTATTAATTATAGGAGATGGTGTAGTTAATCGGAACTGCTCTTGCTTATTGCCTTGGTAATTATACCACTTCGTTTGCCTTGCTATTCACCAATCAGCTGCGCTCGGAGCAAAACTCCAGTTTGCCTCAGGCACCTACCCCTCTGCGAAGTCAAAGGTTGAAAAAGTACTCCTCATGTTTGGATAGGTTCACTGTAGGGTATAATAATAATAATCGTTCAGCTGTAGCGCCCTTTCGGTGCCTAGCTGTCATGCCACCTGAAGGAAGCACGAGGGCTGGGATACTGTCAGGTTGCCCAAGCCTAGACAGGGGAAGTCGAGTGGCGGAGGTCGGGTTCGAACCACGGACCTTCCGGTCAGAAATTCGCGCTCTAACCACTTGAGCGGGTATGGAAAACGAGATGCTCTATGTCCCTATGTCCCTAGTTTGGTACTTCAAGCCTGTCTTCAAATTATGGGTTCTACCAAGCACATCGAACTAGATGCGTACTACACGACCTATGCGAGAACTCCAAAGCCTGAAAACACCCCAGGAGAGCGCACACACTTTTACCTCACAGCCATTGGTCAGTTTTTATCATATCATCTGGACAGTGATTTCAGCGTTGTCACCTGACTGATGAAACAGGCATTGCAGTTGGTCACTTCATTCGACCAATGATGTGAGCTACACACCATGTTCCCCTTTTAGACAGACACTGTCCACATTCAGCTGTAAAGACCTTTTCGGTGTCTAGCTACCATGCTACCCGAAGGAAGCACGAGGGCTGGGATACTGCCAGGTTGCCCAAGCCTAGACAGGGAAAGCCGAAAGGTAGAGGTCAGACACGAACCACGGGCCTTCCGGTCAGTTAATTCCCGCTCTAACCGCTGAGCCATCTCGTCCCTGTCTACAAAACGATCTCGCCACGCTCCAAATTTACACTTCCAGAGTGCATTTTGCAAGAGCACGCGTACAGACAACTCCGGGGATGCACGTTCCCCAAACAGACACTGTACTTGTTTTTTTCAATGATCAGTAGCAATCTCACAAAACGATCTCGCCACGCTCCAAATTTACACTTCCAGAGTGCATTTTGCAAGAGCACGCGTACAGACAACTCCGGGGATGCACGTTCCCCAAACAGACACTGTACTTGTTTTTTTCAATGATCAGATAGCAATCTCAAAGTGCCCCTGAAGATTACTGAGTGTGTCTACGCATGACGAGCTAAGATTCAAGATGAGGGATCGAACAGTTAAATCCATACTAATGCTGACGTTCAGTCATTCCTAATACACTACCTGCGGTCTCAGATAGATAAACTAGAGCTGTACCTGTGTCACTGATCCGTACGAGACATTAAAGTCACGGTACATGGATACAGTCTCTGAGGACCTTGTCGGAGGAAGCTATTGCGACACACAGCATCTTTCTGGCATTGCTCAAACCGAATGCATCCAGTCCTTCGACTCTGGTCGTGACATTCAGAATGCCCAAATATAAGGCTGAATTAAACGCCTAAAATGGTTTAACGCTCGCAGCAAGGCGCCGCGGCAAGGCCGAGCTGCATAGCCCACATGTGATTCGCCAAAAGATCGGGCAGCTCGCCAGTCCGGCAAGCTCTGATTTGCTGAAAGCCTGTACCCAACAGCCAATCATGATCCAATGTCCGCCGAATGCCAGACGTTGACTGAACAGAAGCGACATCCGTGGGTCAGAGAGGGAGAATTGTCCGTTGTAGAGCATGGTGTTACGGTGGTCGCAATGTTTCAGACAATTTTACCAAGGGTTTTTTTACCACCAACCGGATACACGCAAATAAGACAATGACACGGGTCAGTCGTGTCCCGATCGGCTTCATCATGGTCACAGTTCCACGGGGGGAGGAGAGACCGCATGAATGTGTCTGCATCATAATTTATCAGAATTGGATGACGTAACAATGACAGTGGGTATCTGGATGGGTGAAAACCGGCCTCTAAGGTCACGTGTGAGCGATTGCTACGTTCCAGCCTCAAGCACGATCATTTCTAGGGCCTTGACACAAAATATAATTTGAAGGTAGTAGGTTGTACGCCAGCAAAGTAAACCCGGTAATTTTGTTCGAGCGAATACGGAGTGAGGGCATAGTTGCATTGGAGCGTTTTATTTCCTCGAATTGGGAATCGGCGGAGATCGAGCTCGAAATAGCTCAGCAGTTAATAAGTGAACTTGGTGTCTGGAAGATCCATGCTAAGAAACCAACCTCTGCATCTTAGCTGCTCACGTTTAGGTAACCCGGCGGTATCTCAACCCTCGTACTTCCTTAGGATGACATGGAACCCAGGCACCAAAAGGGTGTTACAACTGGACGACTATTTATTTGTGACGAACGAGAACTGCGCGGATTTTTTGTGTTCTAGTTATCTGGTTGTCCGTGTGGTTTATTTGACCGGCATTGCATGCAACGAACGTTGTGTAGCTGAGTCGAGTGATGTTTTGGAGTAATGTCTTTAAAATGTTCTTTTTTTTCGACGTTCCCGA